CATAGCTCTATCAGTTCTAAATTGCGTTTGCATGCATGGAGGTATATTGTGTTTGGTTGAATCACGAACTCTGAAATGCATGAAGAATTGTCAGATATAGACACTTTACTTGCCATTGCATTGTGGCATTAATTATTTCAAAGAAAATATTATTTTTATTTTCTTTTATCCCCAAACCTACACGGATATTCCGCCAGTTTGATTATTATAGCACCAATAAAGACCGAACGTAACTTAGATTGAAAGCTTCGCCAAAGCTGAGGCAAAGAAATAGACGTGTACTCAAAACAAAATAAAGCAATTATATAGTTATTTTTACCATACAAACCTACAAGGTCAAGGATCTTATTAATAAGACCCTTGACCTTGCATAAGTTTGTATATTGTGATTTATTACAATGGTATCAAAATAACGAAATATCTTCAAAAACACAATACAATTATTGGAAAAACACAACATGCGTGATTGCGAACATCTTTTTATTTCTTATACAAAAATAGTCTTAACCTGTGAATTCGGCGGTGGTGCACGTACGCAGATAACCACAGACCCACAGCGGGCGTCTACCTATTTTTGTCTCCTTCACCGTTAATCGCCCGTATTTTGTTCCTAAAAACCGCAACCGTCATTTTTCTTATACAGTAAAAGTTTATCGGCCAAAACCTTCGCAACAATCGACAAGAGGACAAAGATGGCAGATCTTCGTTGAGAAACATTTAACTGCATGATATATATTCTGGAATCTTGTTGGGCGCCTCGCAAGTTGCAGACCCAAATAGAACACGATATCTCTCTGAAGAATTTCAATACTGCACGTAGTTATAACTAACTATTATGAGGGTGGGAAAGGGTATTTTCGTGAGCAGTGAATGGTCAATATTTGTTCGCGTGAAATGTGAAATGCTTGATTTTAGTGTCGTGAAATGTGATTTGTTCTACAGCCGTCAGGCGTGATTGTCCATAAAAATGCTACGTGAAATGAGAATTAAGGATGTCTGTTTCGTGACTGTGATTTTGCTTTGTTTATTTCGATCTATTTTATAATAGTCATAATAGACATGATACGCGATAACTGATTTATATGATCTCACTCGATTGCACAAGAGTAAAAACTTCCGGAGGCCTTTCGGAGGTTATCGGACGCACTCGTCACTCAAACTTGTAAGTTACGATGTAGTTTTTAACTGACAGGTAGAGAAGTGAGAGAACTTAAAGCGTAGATACTGTACCATGCATTAAACATACTCTTAATAAACCTATTGTTATTATATTACTATATTATTTTATTAGAATCTAATCTTGTCCGTGAAATTGCTTTTTTAAGACACGTGAATCGTGAAACGGCTATTTTCGTTGTGAAACGTGACCCATACCCCCCTTCCCACCCACTATTATTGCAAGCTTGTGGGGGAGTACAGACGTTCTGTCTGTAAGAATTGAAAGGTTTTGCCGCCCTTTCTCTGAACAAAGAAAAATAAGAACAAAATACTTCGGCCGTTCATTATAAAAAAAATACTTAAGCCTTTTACAACGGAAGGGCTTGTGCGGGAGTACAGACATAAAAAGAACAAAACAATAGACACTTCGAAAATAGTTAACATTTTATTCAACGTTTCGACTAGGTTTCGGTCATCATCAGGAATTACGATAGATATCTTATACACACTAGATAGCGCATTTCTATTAGTAAAACTAAAGCCAAGAATATTCCCGCAGCGGTTACCCCCATTTGAATAGATGGCGGCCATGTTGGTCGTTCCCACTCGCTAATAAACACTTAAAAATAACAATAACTTTCATCATTTGGATACTTTAAAAATGTATTTGGAATAGGGTTAACATAATATTTAAGTTACCTGTTTAAGAAATAAGAAATATACAAATCTTCTCTCATTTCATGGGAACGACCTGAGACTGCAATCACGGCTTCAATTTTTGAATTGCAGAATAATTAGATGCACTATCTAGTGTATATAAGATATCTATGGGAATGACGCTATTGAAAAATACTGAGATATATATTTACAAGTTAAGCGGATCAAATTACGCGCTAATTAAATATCACAAGTTTCTTAAAGGCTTTTATAGTTCCGTTGTATAATTATGGGTTGTATAATTATTCCATGTGCATGGGGGGGGGGGGGGTGGGGGTTATATTAAGGACCTCTAAATGGGATGTGTGCATCTTTTAAATGGCATGGCCATATATTGTGTGCACTACTGTTTGTTACAAATTGTGCAACCCATTTAATATGTTCGAGAACAAATGTTGTAAGTTAAAAAAATGCATTATACATTCTTCCAGATTTTCAAAATTATGTCTTGACCCTGATGTGCTGGAGTTGTGTATAAGAAATACAGGAGACATACGCAATGATCGTTAAGACAACAGCACAAGAGCATTCCGCAAGGCAGCATATAGACAATTCATCTTAGCACGACATGGCCATCTGGGCAGGGGAAGTAGAAGAGTATGTCCTTCATGTGTTGTTTTGAAAATTCGAGAACGATTTCCGTCAATAACTGGAGTTTACATGGGATATAGAGAAAGCTGAAATTTTATATTATGCTATTTAAAATCCACAGTACAAAAGCTATATTTATCACTGAAACTTACATGGGATGTAGGAACACAATGAGAAGTTAAAATGTTACATATTTACATACTCATATTCATGATTTTTTGTGTTACTCTGAAAATATGCCTAAAAAATATCACATTCTCTAAACGACCTGGTCCTGTATCTCAATTGGCAGAGCATTAATTGGGCTAGTACTCCAAAGGTATAGGTTCGATTCCCACTGTGACCAGGCATATTTTTCAGCCTACATGATGTGGATATACACTCAGAGTAACACCAAAAACATCATATTCATTGTTACATATTCATATTTATATTGTAAATTTCTTCGGTTATTTAAAATATGAATTTATTATATGGCTGAAATACAGCATGTGGTTCAAATACTGCCACATTTCACCATCACTTTTAAAACAGCAGCTTGTACATGTTAGAATGTTAGGGTTTGTAATCCAAGTGATTATATACATTTTAAGACCTGACCAGGAACGACTGCGAAAAATGCAGCACGAGGTCCTCTGGTAGGAATCGAACCTACGGCCCTGCGATTCCGGTGCAGCGCTCCACCGCAGCACTCCACCGCAGCACCAGAATCGCAGAGCGCTGCACTGGAATCGCAGGGCCGTAGGTTCGATTCCTACCAGAGGACCTTGTGCTGCATTTTTCGCAGTCGTTCCTGGTCAGGTCTTAAAATGTATATTATCACTTGGATTACAAACCCTAACATTCTAATATTAATTCCACCAAGTGAAGTGCAAAGAAACTACATCATTCAAGTCCAGCCTGTACATGTACATGTACATTTATAGCAATGGGCCATTCCAGAAAAATATCTGCACCACCCCTATGAAGCAAAGTATTGCTGTCCAGATGTGATATATATAACAATGTGCTATGACATCAAATTTTGAGCGGGGTTAACTCCCCGTTTCCTCTGTGGGTGTGGCAAAATTTGGATATTTTCTGGAATGACCCTATTTCAAGCCAACCTAATTATTCCTTTGTGACCCTGCTTCTACGTTCAGCAATTTCTTTTGTCAGAGGTGGTGATATGTCAGCGATAGTTGGTGAAATTAAAGCAGGATCACTCGTACTAAGGGCAACAAGATGTGTCACAGACTCTGTATCATCATTTCTCCTTCTTAATATTTTTTATGTTAGCACTGGTATATACTCATAGCCCTTAGCCACTTTTAAAACTTTGACATCCCACTGCCTTGTCCTTGCATTGTATTTCCTTGTAACTAACTTGTCACCTGACCGTGTTGTTGCCTGGGAACAAATAAAATTTAGACAGTCACATTATGCATGGTTCAATCCTTTCTGTTACCATCCCCTGGGCAACCCCCAGGGATTTGCGGGCTTTTTAATTCCAAAATATCAATTCTTCACCCCTGGGCAAATAAAGAAAGTGTGTGAACATTTATATTCCCTTGTGTGTGAACATTTATATTCCCTTACCCCTGGGACCAGATGCTCAATAAAATTCCCACCCGCGGGAACTGTCAGTGTACATTTCCTGGGGGATTGTAACCCCGGGGGATTGTGAACCATGCATTATGGTGTGTTCAATTACCAAAAAATTCAATTACCAAACACAACATGATATGCATGCTAAGAATGGGTCGTTCCAGAAAAGATCCATACTCCCCCCACGGAGGAAATTTCTGCCGTCCGGAGGGGGAGGGGAGAAAAAATTGTTTCTGATAATAGTAAATGTATTAGGACATCCAAAGGGGGTAGGGGGGTTAACTTCCTATTTCCTCCGTGGAGGTACGGTGGTATGGATGTTTTCTGGAATGCCCCAATAACAAAAACAGTAAAACACATAGCATCACCGGCATTAGCCATTGACAATGGCATAGGTAATCTATTTCTCTTGCTTACATTTCTGGGATGGCAAGAAATAGTTGAAAGCACTATTTCTTTGAAAGAAAACTATTGGGTAACATATAAGCTTTTCTAAAATTGGCTATCCAGGTAAACACATTCTTATCCAGGTAAACACACAAAGGGGTCTATTTATATATGCATGTTTATTTATAAAAAATACAAATACATTTCTATAATATATTCAAATCGAAGAATAGTTATTAGGTTTCTTCAACAGTTTAGCATATTGTAAATAATGAGTTTACCTTTGAGATTACCTTCGGTAATACTAGAATGTGACAAAGCCTCTATCTCAGCCACATGTGTTTCAGATAGCTGACTTCTTCGTTTCCGTTGCGACTGAGGTTGCTTCTGATTCGTATTCTCCCTTACAGAAAAGTTTAGAAACTAAAAGTTAATATTCATTATATATTCTTAAATCGAATACAGGAAAATAAATATAAATAAATTAAATGATCTTTACCTTCTGCGATATTCCAAAGACAACAGATGTACTGCGAAGTCGCTATCACTACATTTTGTATACCCAGCCTCACTTTTCGCGTTTCTCCATGCCTCAAATATCGTTAAAGGTAAATATATACGTTTGTTCGCACTATTCCAGCCTTTTTGCGACCCTATCGATCCACTATATTTTGGCATGTAGTAAAACACTGACTACCGGAACACCGGAACACCACCGGAACACCACCTAACCCCAACCCTAACCCCCAACCCTAACCCTAACCCCCAACCCTAACCCTAACCCCAAACCCTAATTCTAACCCTAACCCCAAACAAAATGGTGGTGTTCCGGTGTTCCGGTGGTGTTCCGGTGTTCCGATAGTCAGTGTTTTACTACATGCCCTATATTTTCGTTTTCTTCCCGAATTATCTCGTCTCCCACCATGCGCTACAGCACTTGGCGCCGCCATCTTGGATTTGATAACTTGAAAACTACAGACTGTAGTTTTCAAGTTTATATGTGCGCAGAAAGGATGCGCACGCGGTGACACAGCTCCTTTAAGGTTATCAGGGAATATCCCACTACATAAGGAAGTATTAAGTTAAATATGTATGCCAAGAAAGGTGCAACTGTCTCTTTGGAGTCTTTTAACAGTTTAACTGCATGGCATGTGCTAAAACCTGGACGATGGACGATGGACGATTTTTGGCGTCTACTGGAACAGTAGTCGCCATATGCTGTCGACAAGGGGTTTAGATGTTTTGAATGGACGGTTCACTTTTCCTGCGAACAGGCTCTTTAATTTGGCTAGGTTAAAGCCCGCGCATCTAAAAATGTTTCCGAACTGTTTACGATAAATGGTTTTATCAACGCCGTCCAGCCTTGAGACTTATTTTTTCCGACGTTATTATAAAGAACTCCGCGAGTATTTGCAGTAGAAATACGAAAATATCACCAAACAAATTCCGCTTGAGACATACTATAATGTAAAATAGCCATAAAATATAAATTAGTCATTCTCGAACAATGTAACCAATGTACGACAATGTATCACTAAACCATACCTTTCGCCGAATATAACTTTGGCCCCTTTCAACCTATCTTTTCGTAATATTCTTGTTCGAATCACAATCCAAAACACTATTTAGAGTGTTATTTTCAAGTTTGTAGCTACAGATTTGCAACTTTTATTTCGGTATTTCAGAATATACAGCTTGACATATTAAAACAATGCGATATTTATATATATCCTAGACCGCGCACAGGCCCTCAAGGTGAAATGAGAGCCAGCATCGATGACTAATGAATTTGAATATCTGCGTCTAATCGTGACAAGAAATTCTCATTGGTCAGATGCAATAATTTATATGTTTCCGCTGAGCTCTATATATGTCCACTGCTGAAGCACTATGCATAAAAACACATTAATTGATCAAATTGATCTTGGCCATCTTATCTCAAAGCACGAAATGTTCTGTTTTGAGAAAACAGTATTTAAAACATATTTTAAACTTTTGCTTGAATATCTTATATTTCGAAAAACAGTATAATTAACTGTACGGTCTAAATTTAGTTTGGACGAAAGTTGTAAACAACACCATATAAGGATAGACATTCCATATTTGGAAAAACGAACGTTACGGGGCAGATACTCAAATTCATTAGTCATCGATGCAGGCTCTCATTTCACCTTGAGAGCCTGTTCGCAGGCTATATACATCCTGGCACTCGGGAAACGTCGGAAATTCTAAAGGTCAAATTACCCCTTCATGTAGCGTGATTTCCACGTGCATCGGGTCTATGGGTGCTCATTATTGGCCAATTTTAGCGCGTGGCACGCGCGTGCGAGTAACAACCCGATATTCTGAAAAATTAAAAATAAATATTTCTAGTGCGCCGTATTCAAACGAAACTTTCTACACGAAAGCGCTTGAATACAAGGGGTATTTCACTCCTATTGACTTAGTCAGAAGGTATTCAATTTTTCAGTCCATGTTTGGCCAAGCGGTAAGTAAATATAGGATTTTTTTGGTTCAGTGTAATGTTATGACGTCATTTGACCCACCGTTCGAAAGGTTGTTTTATGAGGATTTCAACGGTGGTTTTTGTTTTAAAGGTCGAGTAAATACTTGCCGAGATATTTTAATTTTCCCCACTCCAAAGTCGGAAATGTGAATATAAACCGGACGGCATTGACATTCTTTGTTTTTGATCCAATAGACGCCATCTACGCTACAGCGTACCTATTTTTATTTACAGTCGAAAGTCAAAACACTAAAATCCGCACACTGCCGCTCTTGTACTTTGTTGTCATTTATTGTATATTTCGTTGTGTATTAATAATAATACTAATATTGCAACAAAGAATGGCTTTTCCGTAAGATTCACTGCATAAGTAGCAACATTTAACTTTTATTATTGGTAATGCAAAATTTGGGTAGCCGCTGAAGTATAAATACAAAACAAAACATAGTTTATGATAACAAAATGATAACCTATTGCTTTATTATTAACTATTATTTATTGTTATTCACTAAAATTGCTGAAGCAGTTTTCATCAATAAAACTAAAAATTGAAACAAATATCGCGTTCCCGCCAAAAATCGCGCGGGAATTTCTTTTTGCGCTTGCCAGGCTAGCCCGTCTCATGTTAACCTGAAGTTCAGGCCCTAATTTGAAATAGGGCCTGACACAAAACCTGTCTAGACCGTAGGACGCCCACATGTTATTTTTAGACACACATGCAATATGATTGACAAGTGTTGTAGATTTCGTTACACAAAAAATTTATATTCTCATGAACATGTCCGCAGAGCATTTTGCTTTTTAATTAAACTTAAAAACTCAAGGTACTTTTATATAATTAAGAGTCAGTTTCTCTATTTAACCGAACAGGCGAACAGCAAACAAAGATTTAATTAGTCAGTTCTGTGCACGGCTTGACTGCCAAACTTTCTCAAGGTCTCAACTTGCTGGACGCGGATATAGTCGATATACTCTAACGACTAACGGGCTAACAACAGCAACAATTAAAATTCTCAATCATACCACGAAGAAGGCGATGTAGCTCAGAAAACAACGCCGGTAGGACCTGATATTAAAAATAAGACTTTTGCCGGCGAAGCAAGTTGGCAGAACATCTTGGCTGTCAACAACAAGCTTTCGAATACAGGACTAGTCAGGCTGTTCTTTCAGCGTCGTGTGTCCAAAATTCGTCAAAGATTTTGATGAAGCCCTTTCAAAATACTGTTTGTTTGATTTATTTTCTGCCATAAAGCATAAAAGAAAAGAAATTCGACTGAAGAAATCGATAATGGAATTTGTTACGTGCGTTTGACCTTTATATTAATTCTCGCCTTGACCGAGCTATTTTTAAAACTGTTGTTTATGTGAACTTGCAACCAATCAAAATCCTCCATGATGCTGATCAACCAATCAGATTTCCCGTCCACCAGGTGGACGGGAATCCCACAGTTTAGATAGGTTTTGTGTCAGGCCCTATTCTGTGATTAGGGCCTGAACTTCAGGTTAGCCTCATGTGAAACAAATAACAACTTGGCCCAGCAAAGCGAGCTAGCCCGGCTCGTATGATTGACAGTTCTTTAAATAGAAATTATATAAATTATTTTACAGTCAAAATACAAGTACCTTCCGCACTTCCGCTTCTGTAATTTGTTTTGTATTTATGTAATTTGTTCTATTTTTCTGTAGCGAATACCGCTTTATCGGTAATATCTCTATCCTTTATATACGTCAATTTGTAGCAAAGGATACACCTTTCGTTTAGATTCTTTGCATAAAAGTAGCAAACTTTTGATTTTAGTACATCAAATGATTGTAGTCGGTAATTTTAAATTTGTATAGTATGAACACACTATGAGCGGCGGTTTAAAACCGATTTATCAGCAAATATCGCTATAAGATCTAAGTTTCGCAACCTTTATGCAAAGAATCTAACGAAAGGTGTATCCATTGCTACAAATTGACGTATATAAAGGAAGGAAAGCGAAATTATACCGGACCCTGCCGCGATATTTGCCAACAAAGCGGTAATCGCTACAGAAAAATATGACAAATTACAGAAATACAAAACAAATTACAGAAGCGGAAGTGGGAAGGTTCTTGTATTTTGACTGTAATCAATGCAAATGTTACAATTCTCAACATCGTACATTCGTGGCCTGTTGATTATCGTAAATATTGCTCAACTCAAGTTCAAACTTACTTCCAACAAGACGCTATATGGAGCGTAAACTCGCTGGGGCTATACAACGGACGCACATTACTGTTAAGATCTAAATGCTGATTTCTACTGTTGCGTTTTTCGTACGCACCTACACGCACGAAAAATTTTGAATCCTTTTATTTTTAAATATTTTACAAATAAGTTAACAAATGCATACTAAAACTTGCGGAACAGTAAATTCTGTTGCTTTATTTATTTGGTTATTTTATAAGTAAACGGAATCCGCATTCCGCGTTTTATCCCAATCCAATAAAACTTCCGGCGTTTATGCCCACAAGTAAAGTTATATTTTGTAGTATGCTACATATTTCTTCTGTCTGCCGCCAGTTTAAAACGTTCAAAATAAAATATTTGGGGGCTTTTGGGCTAAAAATATTATCAAAATGAAGAGAGAAATGAGACGAATCCACTGGTATACGGCCGACAAAGAGAAAACCAATGATGCCAAAGTTATCAAGGATCAAACGTATTGCATTTTTTATAATTTGAGCGATTTCTCAACAAATAATACACTTCGCTTGGCTTGCAAATACAAAGGCTATAAATCGCTAGAATACTGTTGTCAGTTGTTTAGTAATACAGTTGACATCCGTAAGTACAATTTCTCATTATCGTAAATACAATTTCTTACGCTGAATCGAACGGTGGTATTTTTATCCTTATTGCGCCATTTATAGGCAATACAAATACAATACAAGGTCGCACCATGGATTGTAAAATAACAATGTCAACAATACAATTTCGCTTGATTTTCAAAGGCCATAAATCGCTAGAATTCTGGTGTTTAGTAACAGATTTGGCATCCGTAAGTACAATTTCTCACGCTGAATCGAACGGTGGTATTTTTATCCTTATTGCGCCATTAATAGGCATTACAAATACAATATCATATTTCACACTGAGTACACTTGAACACTACAGTTTTCACGGACTGTTGTTCGATAATTTTTATATTGATATGACACCAATATGCTTCTCATAAAGTAGTTATTTATTAAAACTACGTTGTGCAGTTTAAGTTATAACCATTTACCTTGAAATTGTCTTTGGCTCGTTTATATTCAGATTCAGTATATTATGCCTGGTCGTGCACGGGAATTCAACGAACCAAATTTCGAATTTTCAGAGTCGTGCACCAAGAAATACGCATTAAATAAACTAGCAAGAATGTCCAGAGTTAGACACAATGCAAAATGCATAGGAAACAGGTACAATTGGTTCAACATTTTCACGAAATTGTTTGAAACATTTTGCCCGCTGAGGCCCCACTCCACGAAACACGAAAGGCCCCGCCATTTTGAAAAGGATCAAGCAGCTCATTAATATTCTATTTTGTGGCTATCGACGATTGGAGATTGGAGATTGGACATTGGAGATTGCCGATCCAAGAACAGAGCCGAAACCTATACTCGTCTGGGGCACAGTGCCCCAGCGAGTAATTAGTGAGGATTATACATCCTATCAATGATTAACAATAAATGATAGTTAACAATAAAGCAATAGGTTATCATTTTGTTATCATAAACTATATTTTCTTTTGTATTGCTTCAGCGGCTACCCAAATTATGCATTACCAATAATAAAAGTTAAATGTTGCTACTTATGCAGTGAATCTTACGGAAAAGCCATTCTTTGTTACAAGTAATGCAATATTAGTATTATTATTTATTATAATCATGACAAAATTCTGGATGCTGATTGTTTGAGAGGAGTACAATTATTTCATTAATTGTACTTCAGTACAATTAATGATTTTCCCAAAACAAACAAAATGGCGGAAAGGTATTTTAAACACAAATGTGAAATGAAATTGCCCTAGAGGAACTAGATGAAAATACAAACAAAAGCACAAAATGTTGCTTTAAAGTGCAAGTCAAGTCCGTAATGTAAACAAACGGTTTGTTTACATTTTGAACTGCTGTATTTTTTTAAATATGATGTACTGTCTAATAGGCCATGGGCCAAGTGCCGAAAACGTGACTTTTGAATACGCACCTCGGGGAACCAAAACATTTCTTCAACAACTATTAGTACATGTATTTTAGAACAAAATTATGTGGTATGCCAATCGTGAGTCTTGCACATTAATGAGAAAAATCAACCGCTTTCTTGACTGATTTGTATGAAATCACCAATATTTCGTTTCAAATGCACAGCATGTTTATATTTCTTAACCAATCAAAACGGATTTTACCCAGCGATAAACCTATCAGATAAGAGTATCATGTTTCAGTCACAACAAAGAAATTGTAAGCAAATATGGCGTCTGTCGGCGAATTAGGCAGACCGCCACGGAAAGATTTTGCATTATGCATATAATAAATAATGCAAGAGGAAAATTAACATCTTTTACATATACATCTTGGTGCAATTTCGTGATATTCGCAGCAAAGTGGAAGAAATTTATTTGTAAGGAGGGTGAAATCGCACATGATTCGGAGGCGAAACTTGATTTGCGTCTCGATTTACAGTGTGAGACAACGCACACAGATAATGATAAAACGTTTCTGCCAATACCAGCCTACTGTAAATTTCACCGGAAGTGCTACAACAGGTTTTGTAACAAACAGAAGCTCGAAAGGGAAGAAAGAAGACAAGCTGTAAGGGACGAAAATGCGCAAAAAGGTGAGAGATGATTGTGGAATTGTGCAAAATATAAATAATAGTGGTATTTTATCACAACGAACCGAAATATGATCACGTTAGGCCATTCACTAAACTCAGATATGTCCTAAATCCCTAAATAAGTCATGGAAGACTAGTATACTGAGTTAAAGTTGCATTATATTTTCAGTGATACCAATGTTGGCATGGTGATTTTTATTATTACAAATGTATTATTTTGATACAAATTCAAAATTATGCATTTCGGTACTTTGTCTTTATTTTAAAAATACACACTTCCAAGAGTTTTATTAGCAGAATGTATGTAGACTACAATGTGTTTCAAAAATTATATTTTCAGTGTTTAATAATCCATGCAAACAACAAACTGATGCATATATAGGTTTGTCTAAATGTAGTTTTCCACCACTGTAGTTAGTTTAGCATTAAATTTCACATTAAATTTTAAAAAACAGAGACATTAGTTCATCATGGAAGTAAGTAAACATCATTCAAAAATACATTAAATGTGACTCAATTGTCCAGGGGTGACTGTGTGGTTAATCCATCAGGGTTCGAACAAGACCCAGCCCTCTTTGGGGTGCCAAATAATAGTATATATTGCCAATTGTGGTAAGTATGCTTGATTAATCTCTTAGATGATTGTGAGCCTCCACATAAGGAACGAAGATTAACCAGAGCTCATACATCAGTTGGGGCTCCAGAAAAAGGACGTGAAAATGTTCTTCCGTCAGTTTGTATAATTTGTAAAAAAGCCAAGTACACTTACAACAGAGAGAGAAAAAGGAATGTGGAAAAGCTTAAGAGAGTTGAAACATTTACAGCAGGAAGACTTCTTGAGGCAGCTCAGCTTAAGGAACGGCATGACATATTAGTCCATTTGGAGGGAGCAGGAAGGGATCTACCAGCTTTAGAGCCAAGGTACCATCATAGCTGTTACATGAATTTAACAAGATTTTTATCTAAGCCACCTAAAGAGATGTCAGAAGAAAGCCTTTACTATCAAAAGGCTTATGAAAAGTTCTGCGAAAGTATCGTGCTTCCAAAAATTATAGAAGCCAAAGAAATCTTGTTGTTGACGTCCCTCAGAGAGTCATTCATAAAGATTGTCAAACAGGTTGAAGGTGTGGATACATCATATCGGACATCTAACCTGAAGCAAAGAATGTCGAAGAGTTATCCACAACTTCAATTCACTCTCGCCATGCCACTGGGATATATTGTCTATTCAGGGGCCTATGAAGCATCAGATCTTGTAAGAAGTGCACTTTGTCAAATAGATATAGATCATGACAGCCAGGAAAGTGAAGAAGATGGAAGCCCTCATAATGCATCTTCAGCCCCACAACAAAGTGACCCAGATGAATTACTCACAACTTTTATGTCGTCACAAATTGTAAAGAATGCTGTTCAAGATTCTTTGTCTACTTTTCACCCACCTTGGCCTCCAACTGCAGAAATCCTAAACATAAATACAGTCAAGGCTCTTGTTCCGCACCAGCTCTTTAATTGGATTGCCTGGACAACAGGATTAAATGATAACCCACAAGCCGATACTTATGTCACAGTGAAAGAGGTAGAAGAAAAGAAGATTCTTGCTATTGCACAAGATATAATGTATCTCAAGGCAAATGGCAGAATAGCAACTCCAAAACATCATGCCCTTTCTATGACAGTTAGACATATGACTGGATCTTCACAGCTTATCAATATTCTAAATGGTTTGGGTCACAGCAGTTCGCACAGTGCCACACTGGAACATGACACTGCGTTGGCTTTGGTTGAGCTTTCCCGTGGAGAACTCCCTGTTCCCAAAGGAATTATGGATGGCCTGTTTACAACTATGGTTTGGGACAACATAGACTTTGGAGAAGAGACTTTATCAGGAAAAGGCACAACGCACAGTACTAATGGTATCATCATTCAAAGGAAACTAACTGATGAGGTTATGCCAAACCAAGGTCCAGCCAAATCAATCCCAAAAAAGAAACAGAGGTCAGTTGAGGCCCCTTTAACAAGATGGGCTCTACCTTTTTGCGGTACATCAAGAACAAAAGATGGACCTGAATGTATTGGTAAAGATATTGATATAGAGAGTGATCCACATTGTGCTTCTCGAGTTAACCCCAAAACTCTAGATCAAGCCTATATAATGACACGGATTAAAGCGGCAGATGAAGAGAAGACAACTATTCCAAGCTGGACGGGTTTTAATACATTGTTGAGCACCAACATTCCTAGACAGTCAATCATTGGCTACCTACCAGTTATCGATGCAAGCCCAACGGAAATGGAAACTGTGAAGACAATTTTAGTCCGCAGTGTACAGTACGCAGATCTTCTTCATCTGGCCGTGATTGTTCTTGTTTTCGACCAAGCCATTTATGCAAAGGCCCAAAAAATAATATGGGGAGATAACGATGATGAATTGAAGAAGCGACTCGTTGTACGCCTTGGCTCTTTCCATACTAAGATGTCATATTTGGCATGCATTGGTCAGCGATACAAAGATGCTGGTTTGTCTGACATTTTTGTAGAGTCAGAATTGGTGGCAAGTGGCTCTCTAGCTGGGGTTATGAATGGTAAACATTACAACCGGGGTGTTCGGGCACACAAGCTTGCAAGTGAAGCTTTCCAGCGACTACGATTCCTAAAATTTCTTGAAAGCATTCCAGAAGAAGAATCCAAAGAAATCCAAGATATCATTTCCAAGTTGTATTCAACATTTCCGACCAAAGATTACCGAGAAATTTTAGAAGACCAGAAACTGTCCAACGTCATATCAGCCTATGATCAGTTTAACCAATCCCAAATTCAAAAGAATGGCAATTTTGCATTCTGGTCATCATATATTGGAATGGTAGAAGAGCTTCTCTTATTCATTAGAGCAACACGTGAAGGAAATTGGCTACTACACCTTTCAGCAGTACGAAACATGTTGCCATGGTATTTTGCATACAACAGAATAAATTATAGCCGTTACCTAACTGCTTATTATCTTGAAATGTGCGACCTTCCAAAGACACATCCAGATATTCATGAAAAGTTCATGTCGGGCGAGTTTTGTGTACAAAGGCAAAGCAGCCATGGTTTTGCTCAAGTTGAATGTGATCTAACAATTGAACAAACGTGCAACCGTGACTCCAAAACCAAAGGAGGATTAACAGGGTTCACTCAGCATAGAGGAGCAGTTCACAGATGGATTCTTTCACAGCCAGCCAGAGCTGCCATAACAAACGAATGCAAAGTAATGGCTGGTCAAAATTTTGACCCTAGAACCAGACGAGAACTTGATAACGCTAGAATAGCACGTGATGAAGATGATATCCAGAAAGTTATAACCACAATTGAGGCAATGGTGAATCCATTTTGAGAGGAGGAAACAGAATTATTACATCTATCGTCAGGAATTATAGCGGACGAAGCTGTTTCCACAGACCTGCTGCAAGCAAAAGAAGTGGGTGAAAAGGCTTGCCAAGAGTTCTGCATAACACGACTGCAAGCGAAACCTGTTGGGTTTTCAGAGCCATTGAAAAAAAGGAAAGTTCTAACATTTGGCACAATGGGAAAGAAGAAAACAACCAAATCAGCTGGTCGAGAGATTACTTTCAAAGCGGACAAGAAACTTTTTGCTGAACTTATATTAGCTGGAAGCACACGAAAGATCCAGTTAGACGAGATGCTGAAATACAATTTGGGGCCATTACCATTGTCAATTTCTACGCTTCATGGCACGCTTGTAAAAACCAACAAAGCAACACTGCTTCATCATATCGAAGGCTCGGTTAAGGATCCATTTCTTCAGAAGATTCCTCGGAGCAGTGTTTGGGTTCTTGATGGAATGGCTATATTACAACAGCTCAAACTTCGTGATGTAGCAAGTTTTGGCGACTTGGCTCAACTTATTTTTGCTAAAATCGTTGCACTTGCCTCACAATATCGCAGCCAAGAAATACATTTTGTTACAGATCGTTATCCAACTGTAAGCATCAAAAACTCTGAGCGTAGTCGAAGAGCCGCAACCGGAAGTGAACGAATTCATATCTACTCTGGTATGCAAGCAGTTCCGAAGCAATGGAGTAAATTTCTGGCTAATGGTCCAAACAAGGAAAGTCTAATTGAGTTATTTTTCCATGAATGGGGTAAATACTCTCCTTCAAGTTATCAGGATATCACAATCTTCCTTGCTCATGGCCAAGTGTGCCATGCTCTTCGTCCGACAGACAATGAAATACTTGTAGTACCTGTACCTGTACCCAATCTGAGATGTGACCACGAAGAAGCAGACACGCGGATGCTTCTTCATGCCATGATGCAGCTGATCGCTCTGAAGTTGTTGTGTTTAAAAGTGTGGACACTGATGTTTTCATAATTTGTCTTGCAATGTCCAAAGAGTTTTCTTGCCAGTTACTGTTCCATACCGGAACTGGAACAAAGATACGAACAATTGATGTTCAGTTGGTACGCAAGCAGTTAGGTGATGAGATCTCACATGCGATGCTCGGATTGCACGCCCTTTCTGGATGAGATTCCGTAAGTGGCTTCTATGGCAGAGGCAAAGTGAAAGGAGCGAAGCTTTTGTTGACGGAGAAGACATACCAGGAAACATTAGGAGAACTGGGCATGCAGCATGACCTTTCAGAAAATCTGTTCAACGAAGTACAGAAATATGTTTGTCACCTATATGGTCAAGCCGATTGCATCGATGTAAACACAGCCAGATACAATTTGTTTCGTCTAGGAAAGCACTCTGACGAGCTATTGCCTCCAACGAAAGACTCTGAAAAAACATGTGATGCGAGCCAACTACCAAGCAGCTGTTTGGAGGAGAAGCTTAGAACAACTTCAGGACTTACCAACCCCTGTCGGCAAAGGCTGGAAACTCTCAGAAGATGGCACTCTAACCATTGATTGGTGCGATTTACCACCTGCTCCCGACACTATCCTGAAAACTGTGCAATGTTCGTGCAAAACTAGAGGATGTGGATCAGCTAAGGGTATGTACAATAATAAATTATGAAGTTTAAACTAACATAATTACTAAAATATGGTAATACACTAGCAATTATTTAAAGGCATACAGTCACTTAATATTTGGTACAATATGTCTACAATTCAAACTCGAAGTTTCCGTAACGTTTGTTGGCTCATATCAAGCTAAAAGTATGTCGCTCAAACGGTGTCTGTGTGCCTTTAATTAGTATTTATGTGTTACTTTTACTTTTATTTGTGCAGGACAAAGTTCAACTGTGTGCCTTTGCATAAAAAACAATTTGCCATGTACACTATTGTGCAAATGCCAAAACTGCATAAACAAAAACGAGTTTGGAGACGAGAATGACGATGATGGCGATGGGATGGATTCTGATGAAAAGGATAGTGATGAAGATATATGAAGTTGATATCTATATAATATGACACTGTGTTTTACTTCAAAATATGGGGAAAACTCTTTTAACTGAATTTGTAGAGTGTTTCAATGATGGTAAAAATTATTCTAAATTTGATAGAATATGATATGGAGGTTACTTCAATCTATTAGATGTAAGATGTATCAACTGAGCCACTGTAACTTGTCTTATATCACACTTGCGTCGGTTTTCTTTGTTCGTCCGAGGTTTATAACTAGCTTATATACCTTGAATAAATTATTAGATTAAACTTTTCGACAAAACGCGAGAATTTTTCATTAAAAATTTTTGAAAATGACAAAATATGTTGGAAAACCTGCGCAAGTGTGATATAAGTTAGTTATAAACCTCGAAAGTCGGTTTATAACTCTTACTTAATTGTCCATTCCAGAAAACATACCACTACACCTACAGAGGAAATTTCTGCCGTTTGATGGAGGGAGGGGAACATTTGTTTCTGATAATAGTGATTGCATTAAGATATAAATAGGAGGTACAGTAGGGAGTTAACTTTCAGTTTCCCCTGAGGAATGTATGAAAGTTTTCTGGAATGATCCAATGTATAAGGGTTGCAGCATCCAGTACATTATATGTTATATGTCTATCTTTGTAATAAATTCTAATTGAGTAATGTCATAAACCTTCCAGTAAAACAGACACTGTTGAGTGGTGGGGGAGGGGACTTTTAGACAAGTAATGAATGCGCATTGATTGACGGATGGAATGTACTAGCAAATGCAGGAGGTGCTTACTGAAGGATTTATGGTAAACAGTATTTAAATCAAACTGAACAGTATTTCATGGTTCAATACCTAAATACAGAAGACCCATCCGACTTTAGCCTATAAAGAAAACACGTGATTAACCAACTTGTAAGATATAAAAATTGTTATGTATATTTGAGAAATAATACTGATTAAATAAACAATAAGTATTCATTTCAGTGCCACCTTATAAACTGTTACAGTTGATATTTTACACAAAAAATAGTATGAAAAACTTTTTACAGATATTACTAACAGATTGCACACCTTGGCGCATGGTCATTGCAAATGTTTTCCAGTCAGTTTAACAATTATTATGTGAAAACATAGTTAATATAGAGAGCAATTGGCATTAAATATGAAATTACGCAATCCAAGATGGCCGCCAAGGAAAAGAAAACTTTACATACAATTGACTCGATTTGTGACTTAATGTGCAAGTTTCAGGCTTGACATACATAAAAAAACAATCAACAATACATAAGCTTACTGTACTACAGTGTAAAATTTATCTGGTTCCCCGAGGTGCGTATTCAAAATCAATTTCTAAACACATTTTTGGCACTTGGCCCATGGCCTATATGTTCTCAACTGAGAATATTCGGTATTACCCGTGCCAGACTATCGCCTGCGCTACCTGACGCTGACGCTTTCGCATATCATTATATATAAACCAATCACAATCGTGTTTCTATCACACGTTCTTCTCGAGCTTTGAGTTCT